CCTCCTCCTCCTCCTTCTCCTCCTCCCTCCTCCTCCTCTCCTCCTCCTCCTCCTTCTTCTCCTCTCCTCCTCCTCCTCCTCCTCCTCCTCCTCCTCCTCCTCCTCCTCCTCATCCTCCTCTCTCTCTCTTAGGCATGGATCCCATGGGTCGTGGTGAGTTGGGGGTCGGAGGATCGCTCCGCCTCGCCGATGCATCGAGCGATGCGGGGGGCGGCGGGCGGGGGGGATGCGTGTGAGTCCGTTATTTTGCGCCACGATGGCGCTGCCGATGCACCGCCGACGTCGCCGATGCATCGCTGATACATCGCTGATGCAACGCTGATGCATCGACCATGCAGCGCGACCCTCCGACCCCATCTACTCGGACTCCATGTTGGAGGAGTCCTCTAGAGAAGGAGTTGTCATCGGTTCCTCAGCGGAAGGCGGCGGAAGGCTGTCGGAAGTAAAACGAGGCGGCCTCTGCCGGCGGAAGCAGGCGGAAGGCCGGCGGAAGGCGGCAGACGTTTTTTTGTTTTATGTGTTTTTTTTTCCTCGGGGCAAAAGCTGTGCAACGGCACAATGAAACTGTCACGGAATACCTCTTGGAGGTGGTGACCATGTCGAAAGTCAGAAGAACAGTTAAATGCCTGAAGTGGTCCAGACAGTGCTCGTGTATCCAGAAGAGGAAGGCGGCAGACGTAAAATATGCGCCCCTAAGAAATGAACACCTTTCTGGGTTCAGGTCTTCCGGAATCCGCCAAGTGTTCGCAGAACCCGCCACGGCCGCAAGGATGCCCCAAAAGAGCCTGAAGAGGCCCCAGGAGAACCACAGGATGCCCTCCAGACGGCCCGTTGAGAAAGATTGTGCTTCTGGATCACCGGAGTTCAATCTACTTTAGGCGCCTTCCTTTTTCAAGTGTCACGTGGTATTCCCTCTTCCTTCCTCTTCCTTAGGGGTGCCTGGGGGGGGGAAGTGAGAGGGGGCGGGCCTTCTCAAAAGGCTCGGAAGTCCCCCAGCCTTCTGAGAAGTTTTCAAAGCCTTCCCCGAAGATATAACAGACCTTTCAGAGGGCGCGAGGGCTTCTGAGAAGTCACGCCGCCTTCTGAGAAGGCCTTCCCTTCGCTCGCCGCCGAGCTCTACTTCCGACGCCTTCCTCCACCACGCTTCTGCACGCTCCGAACAAAGGACACCATTGCAACCCCTGGACTGGCAGGCCTACACCCCTCCGGTGGGCGGCCCCCGCTCCCTCATCGGGACTCAGGAGACAGGGGTCGAGGCAAACGGGGGTCAGTCAGAGCGCCGGAACTTGCAGGATCCTGCAGGGCCAGGGCTGCACTGACCCGGGCTTGGGCGCAGGATCCCGCAGGATCCCGCAGGATCTTGCAGCGCCTGACTGACCCGGGTCTGGATGGACCCCGGCCAGTAGATCCCCGACCTCATTGGCGCCTCCGCCCTTCAGTTCATTGGAGGGGAAAAAGACACAGACACAATGAATCGTCGACCCCCAGGAAAACATGGGGAAGTATGGGAAGTGAGGGGGAAGACAATCACCCAGAAATTATGGGAGAATATTGGGAGTCCTGCTATCTGTGTGTATTCATTTCCGTGTCCCAGGGCCCCTTTCAAGAGTGGAGGCGCTGGACGCGGCCCGCTGTTCCCCCCCCCCTGGACCGGCAAGCCTGCCCGCCGTCAGTGGGCGGCGGCCTGCGCTCCCTCGTCGGCGCCTCCGCGCTTCGGTCCGCCCCGTGCAGTCAGGGCGCTGGGGGAAGGACCGCTTGTTTTAAGTCGGGCCTGTCCCTCTACGGGGGGAAGATTCAAACATAGTTTTGTTTAAATAAAAAGCGGCGTTGTTTTCACTATTTTTGAGTTGTTTGGGGGGCATGTTTGGAGTATCTTTAATTTTTCGCCCACAATCCCTTTGTATGGGGACACGCCCGACTGAACGCTTGTTCGGATGCAACTCCTGGGAGGTCAAATTCTGATTTAGCCCTGGTCCGCAATCCAGATAAATCCGGCTCAATTCCGCTTCATCCCGCTAGATCCGGCTCAATCCCGCTTAATCCCGCTTGATCCGAGGCCCACTCTGGCGTAACAGCCCCCCAATGGGGCTTAATCCTCCTTAATCCTTCCGACGGCAACCTCCCAGTAGTTGCCTCCTAACGCTTGGGGGTCGGAAAGGGGCCCGCTGTTCCCGAGGTCGTGCCGAGATGTTTCTTTTGCGGTCGGACCGAGGTATAAGATCGAGGTCGGTTCGGGAAGGGTGCCCCAGTGTTCTTCGCGTGTGTCGGATGTTCTTGCGCATCCCGGGTCCTGGGGGGGGGGGGCTCTTGGACGTTCTGTCTGTCTCGGCCGACGACAGTGTTCTTGAGGGATGCTCTCAGATCCAGGTCCGATGGTAGCCCTCCTCGTGCACCCAATCTCTTTGGTGCCAAGAAGCAGCTTGGTTACCTGTTTCGCGTTTCGTATTGCAGCCCTTCGGGACGCTCCCAGGAGGGCCCAGCAGAGCCCCAAGAGCTGCCATCTTCACCAGCGAATGCCGAACAGCGCACCCACTTTTCTCGGAGTCGGGTTTTTTAGTGCGGGCGAAGCGCGTGCGAAGTTTCTTATTACCAGTTTCAGTGCGGCGATTATGCAGGGGGGGATGGAACACGTGATTACTGTTGATATAGGGGGTGAAGGAGAAGCAGGCGGAGGAGGAGGAGGAGGAGGAGGAGGAGGAGGGGGCGGAAGAGGAGGAGGAGGAGGAGAGGGAGGAGGGGATGAGAGGAGGAGGAGAGAAGGAGGAAGGGGGGCGGCAGTTGGAGACTTTAACACCATCAGGAATCAGGAACTCGGGAGGAGGGGACGAGGAGGCGGAGGAGAGGAGGAGAGGAGGCGAGGGGGAGGCAGGAGGAAGGCGGAGAAAGAGAGGAGAGGAGGAGAATGAGGAGAGCGGCGGAGGAGGAGGAGGAGACAGTGGAGGAGGAGCCGTGGGAAGGAGGGGGGAAGGAGAAGGAGGCGGTCGCCTCCGCCTGAAGGTTGGGTCTCGGGGGCCACATCCCCTGGAGGGAACCAAAGGTCCGCAGTTCGCTGGAGGAGGCGGAGAGGAGAGCGAGAGGACGACGAGCACGAGACGCAGGAGGATGAGGAGGATTTGGAACGACCAGCGGCACGGAAAATAGGACGAACGGGAGGCTTGGGACTGAGAGGATGGAGGAGGAGGAGAGGAGGAGGAGGAGGCGGAGGAAGGGAGGAGGAGGAGGAGGAGGAAGGAGGAGGAGGAGGAGGAGGAGGAGGAGGGGAGGAGGAGGATGAGGAGGGAGTAGGCAGGAGGAGGAGTGAGGGAGGGAGGAGGAGTATTAGAGGAGGAGGAGGAGAGGAGGGTAGGAGGAGGAGGGGAGGAGAGGAGGAGGAGGAGGGAGGGGCGGGAGGAGGGAGGAGGAGAAGAAGAAAGAAGAAGAACGAGAATAAGAATAAGAATAAGATGAAGAAGAAGAGAATAATAATAAGAGAAGAAGAATAAGAAGAATAATAATATAATAATAGAAGAAGAAGAAGAAGATAAAGGAGGGGGGGGGAGGGGAGGGAGGAGGAGGGGAGGTGAGGAGGACGAGGAGGGAGGAGGAGGAGGAGGAGGAGGAGGAGGAAGGATTTGGAGGAGGAGTTTGGATGAGGAGGAGAGAGGAGGAGAGAGGGGAGGGAGTTTGGAGGAGGAGGTAGAGAGGAGGAGGAGGAGGAGGGAGGATTTTGGAGGGAGGAGTTGGAGGAGGAGGAGGAGGAGGAGGAGGAGGAGGAGTTGGAGGCGACGAGGAAGAGGAGGACGAGGAGGAGGCCCACCCTGGCAGAGGGCGGCAAGCCCCTGGCAGTGGGGCACGCTTCCGCCCCGGCGCTCCCCCGCCGCTGCTCCCTTGGCGTCCGCCGGCGGCCCCGCGAACGCCCCGTATTTTCGCGAACGCGCCGGGGCTTCGCTGGGCGGGGGGGGGGGGCGTCGGCGTGGCTGGCGCAGGTCTCTCCTCCTCCTCCTCCCTCCTCCTCCTCCTCCTCCCTCCTCCTCCCTCCTCCCTCCTCCCTCCTCCTCCTCCTCCTCCTCCTCCTCCTCCTCCTCCTCCTCCTCCTCTCCCGCAGCCCAGGAGGCCCCGACCACCTCCCCAGGGGTGGTCGTTCGTCCCCCGGGCCTGCTTCTGATGGCCCCCCCGCGGGCCCGGGAGCGGCCGCCGGGGGCCGGAACCGAGGAGGAGCGCCCGGACTGGGCAGCTCATATCGTCGCTGGGCGTCGCGTAATGGGGGGGCGATACGTGAGGCGTTCCAGGCATGGTCTACAATTAAGACGCTGAGATGAGGAACTCTTTGGGTTCGGAAGGGGCCCGATGTTCCCCAGGTTCCTCCATTGCTGTCCCTCTCGCCCTCCTCGGACACGGAGGCGCTCTTAGGGCCAAGAAGGGGCTTCGCTCCTTATTTAGCGTTCCTTTTTCAGCGGTCCGACTGTACCCTCGAGGACCGAAGGAGTTGTCATCTCTTCCGCCACGGAAGGCGGCGGCAGGGCGGCGGGAGGTCGGCGGAGGTAGAACATGGCCGCCTCCGCCGGCGGAAGCCCGCGGAAACTCGGCGGAGGGCGGCGGAAGTAAGACATGCGCCCCGAAGAGATGGGAACGTATGCGATGTTTCTCCCCCGATCCCAGAGTTTCGCCCGAAAAGTTTGGCCGCTCAGAAACATCGGAAAACCCTGGGATCAAGGGGGCTATTCGGACGCACCCCGATCGAGGATGGCCAACCCCCCCATCGTATATCCCAGGGTTGAGCCCCAAATTTCTGGTCCATTTGGAACTCCCACGAAGCCTGGGATAGGGTTCGACATATCCCCGGTTAAAAAGCGCGCCCCCCAAGAGATGGAAGCGGTTTGGGGCTCAGGGTTTCCGAATTCTCCCGACGGAGCGGCGCCACAGAAGCGGGGGCGTCTTCGCCGACGCCCGCGCGCAAGCTGCTCGCGCAAAGGTCCTGCGTGGGCGCCCTCGTGCCCCCTGCGGCGTGCCGCGGTGTCGGC